GAGTAGCGGGAACGGGTTGGGGGGTAAATCCCAACAAAGTTTCAGTTTACTTCAACTTGAGCAGGGACTGAAACGGTGGACTGGCACTGCAGACTGGGGCAGGTATTGGCAATGCTTCGATCCATCTGCGGCTTTGTCTGGCCTTCTTTCTCTTTCGCTCGCGCTCGCGCTCTCTCCCGCTGCCGCTCTCTTTGCTTTTTGGTAACGAGTTTCATTCGCACAATTCTTGACTAGCCTTAGGCGGTAGCACTGAGAGAGAGAGAGAGAGAGAGAGAGAGCCACAGTAAGTATTTGCTCCATAAATCTCACCCATGTGACTGGGACTCCAGCTCCTACTGCGACTGCGACTGCGACTGTGGCCAGGGTTAATGCCATGGGAAGAAAATCTGCGTGAGATGAGGATGAGCCACGCGATAAGTTACATCTGGGCACTGTTGTGGGTTCTGCGATAGCTTTGCGACTGCGGTCAGGGAATCTCTGGTAATGGCTTCCCTTATGCCTCAAATAATAATTGTGTTTCAATTATGCTTTCAGTGTTTGTTTGAAGATTAAACCTTTTATATACTACTCAAATCTCTTTTGTTATTTTCCATTCCATTCCATTCCTCTTCCTCTGCTGATCTTTGTGAACTTCTTGATCCTTTTGCTCATCCTCCATCATTATGGGAAACAATTTTGCCGGCAATTTGTCGGCAGCAGCAGCACAAGCAGCCCCAAACAGTTGCCTCATTTTGGGATTTATTGATTTATCGTGTGCCCATCCATGGAGACAATTCTCGTTGTACCCTACCCTGTACCCTACCCAAAGCGTGGGCACTTTGATTTCTAAGCGCAGCAAAAGCACAAATTTTTATATTTTTTGCGATGCTTCGTGTGGAACCCACGCGACAATGGATTTTGATTTTGATTCGGATTCGGATTTCGGATTTCGAGTGGGGCAGACACACATCTTCGCTTAGCTCGAGCCTCCTCAAAGACTCAACAAAAAAAGACTTCAACTCTTTTTTCCTCTGCCTACCAATTGGCAATAAATCAAGACGCCCACACGCCGTTCGCTCAACGATCTCTGGGTCTCTGCGTGGAGCTTTGAGGCGGAGTGCTTGGATCTGTTGTGGCAACACTTTCAGGGGCCTCGAGCCTCATTAGTTTTGCCTGGCCTGAAATTATGTTGCAAGTTTTTCTTCGCAGTTTCTTCGCATTTGCAAATGTTCCCCTCCTCCCGCCCGCGCAACATTTCTTGCCTCACTCGACACCCCAACAGCTGCGGCACAGACTCGCGCACATCAAATCGCCATCCAATCCCATACGATACGATCCGCGATCTTGCTGCTTGTTTCCCACACAAAGATGGGCAATTTCCTTTCCTATTCCTGCCTGTTCTTTCGGCTCTTTTTGGTCTGTTGGTCTATAAATACGCAGCGCGGCACCGCGCTGGAAAATCAATTGAATTTTCACGCATGTTTATGGCCCCCGCTCAACTTTCCATTGAGGCACGACGAAGACGACGGCGACTACAGTGGGCAGTCGCTAAGATGGCCACTAACTGAGTTATTTGCATGTGGAAAGTAATAATTATTGCTGCATATTTTGTGTGGGGTGCAGGAGCACTCGCATGGCTGCATCTTTTGTGTAATTTGCAGAAAATGCATTTCTGAGGCATTCATAGTCTGTTTTTACTGTGCTTTCGATTAGCTAAATCTGCGTTCTGTTCGTCTTCCTTTCCCTTCGTGGAAACAAGTGAACTTTTTCGTCGTGGAGTGAGTGGTGGAGCCACTAGAGTCGCAGCCCTTCCGCCTTTGGCTGCTCCGCTAAGACCAAAAGTTAGCACTTAATATCCCTAGAACATCGTACAGCGTACAGCGTACAGCGTACAGTGGGGGACACAAAAGTAGTGCATGTGCCATGGTCCATGATGGCTGCTGTTTATAATTATAATTTTTCTATCTGCCATGATGGATAAGCTCTGACAGATTGCCACTCATTGCTGCTGTGTGCTGCTTTAACCGTGCCTATGCCGTTGAACGCGACTGTGTCTGTGTGTCTGTGTCTATTCGCTGTGCGTATTGTAAATCTCTTTAGCAAGTGTTTTCTGCCCATTTCTTTTGCGTTCTTTGCATTTTGGCATTTTTGACTTCATTTGTTTATGTCCGCCAGGATTGGCAGGGGAGTGGCAGCGTGCCAGTGGGCAGTGGCAGGGGGAAAACTCTGCACATGAGGAGGAGGAACGGAATGGAATGAGCTCGTTGTTGGGTGTTTCGGCCTGGGCCAACACGCACAGAGAGCGAGAGAGCGAGAGAGCGAGAGAGCGAGAGAGATGTGCGAACATCCACGATGGTCCCAAAATGGGGAATGGGGAATGGGAACGAGCAGCAGCAGCACCAACAATAATAACCATAAACTGTCGACCAGCCCATGTCTATGACTAGGAGACCGCACACCAAAACACCACCCAAGCGTACCCCCTGCCCCCTGCCAGCCGACTCTTTGGCGTCTGTTGACCTCATTTCGGCGAACAATTTTTTTTCGTATTTAGTTTTGTTATTTTTTTGTACGGCTCATGTCTATCTCGGTGCGTGGTTTTAGCAGAGCAGAGAGAGAGAGAGCATGTCGGCAAAGCAGTTCACAGAGATCCGTATAATATCCAGGCGTAGAAGAGAGCAAAGCAATAACGAAGATGATTCGCAACCTTGTACAAGTATTGTTATATTTGCCACGATTTCCAACGATTTTCACTGGAGTATCGAGTGCTGCACGTTGCGCGCATACTGAGCAGGCGATAAAAATTATTTTAATTATAATTGCTGCTCCCACAGCACAGCGAAACAATTTCGCTTATCTCGGGTTGCACCTGAGTGACATTTTGCATTTTGCATTTGCATTTTGCATTTGCATTTCGTTGGCCGCCGCATCTCATTAACAAAACAAACACCCACACCACACCGCTCGTCGTGTAGGGCGCGACAGAAATGCGAGTATTCCGTGTGTTAACAAGTGGATGCGACATGGCCGCCAAATGAGATCAGACTTTCAAGGTGCTCAATGGCCATTTATGGCAACTCTTTACCGAGTGCAAACGGAAAGGTATTCGCTTTAATCAGTGCCTTTTGCTATGAGTCCGCAGCGAAAGAGAATGACTGTCCTTGCGGGTACAAAAGAGAGCTGACAACAATGCAAGGGAAGGGAACGTTTGGGAATGAACTTAACTGCGCTCTTCATTACGCGCTCTGCTACGCTGTACGCTCAGCTCTTGATCTCTTACTTGAATCTTTAACTTGTCCTCTGTCACTCTCTAAGCTGATGATAGCTTCACCTTCACACACACGTTCCATGGGTCTTTCGCGTGAGAGGTAACCAAAGTACTTGCCTCTCGTACAGAGTTCGCAGTGCTCACAGTCCACAGTCCGGTGGACCCCACAAAGCGCGTGATCTGCACGTTCGGCCAACGGACCGTTGGACAGTCGTAAAGAGAGCGAGTGGGAAAGAGAGGCAGTGGGAAAGAGGGACAAACAGACAGACAGCGAGGCAGACGACAGGTAGACGGTTGGACAGCAATAACAGTGGTGGGGTGTGGGGGAAAGCATGACGGACATGACGGACATGACATTCGTTTGTCAGAGAATCCAAAAAGCTTTGCTGCATGCATTGTACGTAGGGCACTGCGCGGCGACCGCAGACAAGGGGGGCGGCTGGGTATTGTGCGGGAATGTAAATGGATTTTTGATTGCAGGCAGCGGCAGCGGCAGCGGCATCGTGTCTTTTGTTCTTTGTTTCATATTTGGGGGAACTCGCTGCACAGCCTTGCCTTGATCGTGACCAGCTGATCGTCACTCGGTTTGCAACGGGACTGCCCTGTTTCTCTCTCTCTCTCTTTCTCTTCAGTCAGCTGAGACGATTCAAACTCAAATCTTTATGGAGTAATGCTGCTGTCTCCATCTCTGTCTCTTGTCTGTGCCTCCAACTACATCTGTTCGGAATGTCGATTAATTCTTTATAAGGTAAGCCAAACAGTAGCTGCAGCGGGGGAAATCTAATTGCTTTGACCCACTGGCAGCAGCAGTCGCCAAGTTGTAGGACCAGGAACCACTTCGAGAGAGAGAGAGAGAGAGATTCATCAATGTCATGGCTATGGCGTATTGCCACTCTGTCTATTGATTTCTGATTTGCTTTCTGACCATTTTTATGGCCATAGGCTCCGCTTTGGCTGCCCAGTTTTGGCCAGCCTGTCGTCTGGTCTGGTCTGGTCTGGTCCGCAGTGACACCTTTAATGACTCGAAGCCAAATCGAAGCCCAGTACCAGACAGGCGAGCAACCTAGTCATATGCAAATCAATGGACATCCGGAGGAGTGGCACAGCCGCGCGTATCTGACTGACTCCTCGCCACCTATCCCCTTTTGGCAACAAATATTTGGCAAAAAAATAAACTAAATTCTCCAAAAAGAAGTGAGAGAGAGAGAGAAGAGAATCAACAGAAAATGGCAAAAGCAAACAAGGAAATTCTCACACATGTGGTGTTGGTTTTTTTTTTCCGTTCGTTTTGGTATCGCAAAACAAACACAAAACTGCGATACGAAAATCCTGCAAAATGGAGCAAAAGAACATAAAGATAACTGGCAGTCATCGGGGGTTTCAGTTGAACAAAATTATGGATTTCCCGTTAACTTGCAGCCACATTTTGTTGTTTAATATTTGTGGCCTGGCATCATCTCTCGAAATAATCAATATGCAAGCACTTGAAGCAAACAAATTAGTAATAAAAACTTGGCCCAAACAAGTTTCGCGTCCCATTAGCAACGGAGGCAGCCAGCCAACAACAATTGCAATGAAAATTCGCAATTTGCAAATAGCAATGCTGCTGATTAATAACAATCAATGCTTGGAATCGATTTGGCTAATATTGAAACCAGTTTTTTGGCAGTAGCTGCCTTCCTCCAGTTACTACCAAAGTAGTAGTAGTAGTAGTAGAGAAAAGGTGTTGCCGAGTCCACCGATCTGCACTTACCACTTTGTATTGTTTGCCGCATTCGCCTCGCCGATGGTGTGCGTGGCCACGGAGTAGCCAAAGTGCGAGTGGGGATGTCCGTACTTGATCAGCGGCAGTCGCTGCTCCAGATTGAAGCCAGCGACGGCAGTCAACGCCATCATATGGAGCAGCAGCAGCAGCAGCAAGGGCAGCGATGGTGGCCGATCTGCCGCCGATGCTCTGCCCGCAATGCAACGGTGCAGCATGATTGTGTGGCGGCTTTTAGCCGTTGCTGTTTACAGTTGCACGTGCACCGGGCACGGCCCTGGCACGACCTTCGGCAGTCTCGGCGGAGATCTTCCGCACAGCAAAAAATAGGCAGGGGTAGCGACGCGGCGCTTCGATCGATCAACAGGTAGTTGCAGATGAATATTCCACACTCCTCTACACTGTTGCACTGCTTGCTCTTGCTCTTGTTGTTGTTGTTGTTGTTGTTGTTGTTGACGACACGCACACAGGTACACGCACAGGTAAAAAAAATTACGTAACACGCTCCACTGATATTAGTATTATAGTTAGGAATATTATACGGACACGTCTATTTGTTGTTGTTTTTTAATCAAATTCCAGCGATTAGAAAAAGCGCGCGACGAGTCAGTGACGTCACTCAGCGTTGACTTGACATTTCCTTGAATATTCGTTTATTTTTTTCTAAGTTTTTGTATTCGATATTAATGGTTTGTTTTTGAAATATTTCAACGTACTTTTCTGAATTCAGAAAACAAAAATCGACCCTATTTCTTATGTTGTTGCCCTTTTCCCTGTCCCGTTTTGAATGACGGGTCGGCTAGGGCCGTCAAAAAGATATCAATATATCGATATATTTTCAAAATAATAATATATTTATATCGTGATATTTTTTTGCCAACATAAATATATATTGATATTTTTCTGTGATAGTTTTTGATATCTAACGTTTGGTCACACTTATTTTTCGAAACCAACGGACATGAAGTAATAATATAAGGAGGGACCGTCGTCGGCAGCGTTCCTCGTGTAATTTGCCTTTGTTTGCTTGTGCAAGCGGAAGGTTGGGCGCAGTCTCCATTGTCGTTTCACTCACACCTACAGCGCAGTGCCCTTTCGCACGCATTGCGAAGTGTGACAAGCTGCTAGCAACATACCAACGAATACCACAAAATACTATTGGCTGACTTTCTAGATTTAGTCGGGCCGTATTTTTTTCGATCTGAGTACTTTCCTGCGGAACTATCGATAAAATATTCCAAAATAGTATTCCGTAGTCTTTAACCGTATTCCTCAACTCTGATCTTCTATTTGATATTACCAGCTTCAAAACACTTTTAACACTGAAACAATAATTTAATACGTTTTAAGAATCAATTTGGCTTGTTCTAAATACTCCTATTTATTGGATTGTAAACATATATTTTACAAATTTGTATTTGAATGTACACCATGAAAACTATTTAAAAATAGCGCGCGCAACAAAAGAGGAAAATAATTATATTGTTTCCCTAAAAGGGAAAAGGAACAAAAGTAAATATTATTATAAGCTCGGAGTCTTTTCTTCTATATATTTAAAACATACTCGGGGCTAGACTCCGGTTTATACATTGGAATTCTCCTTTCTTTTGCTAATGAACAAATCATCATGCACAGTAAAAGAATAGTTTAATACGATCAAAGAATCAATTTATCTCTTTCTAAGCACTCCTTTTCATTGGATTGAGTTCAAATGAGAAGCAATTATTATTTATTATTATTATTCAACTCAAATTGAATTTTGTTAAATTCCAACTCGAAATGAAGTCTCGCATCGTTCCACTTATGCGCGTTAACAGTTGCGTGTGCCAGCCCTGGCCGCAGCACACACAAAAGCCAGCAGCTACGCAACGCGGTGCTTGTAGAAATCGATAAAATAAAATCGTTTCGCCAGTCGCACCGTGCACGCTCCTACCTTTAATTCGCAAAAAGCCAATCAAATAGCCAACCCAAAGATAGTTAGTTACACCAGAGAGCCACAGAGGTACACGTACCACGATCCGAGAACCGAGAACCGAGAAACAATCCGAACAACATTTGCTGTGTGCAATTTCCGTTGCGCGAGTGCCAGAAATTTGAATCGATAATCGCGAGGGAGGAGGCTGTAAACACAAAACACTTAAAGTCAGGCCCAGAGCTAGCGCAGCAGCAGCAGGAGTCATCATGTCTTATGTGAGTGCAAATAGAATTAATTATTGAAATGTGCAAATATTGGGATGCTGCGCTTAAATGTTGCTGCATACCCTGAGGCGTCTTTGGTGCTGCCAAAGGAAAGTAGTGCCAAATGCTGGAAATTTTCAGCATTTTATGTAACTTTTTCGCATGCAAAAAAAAGCAGAAAAATCTAAATGCATATGTGTGCACATACATAATATGTAAACCCTAGTCAATGCCCTAAAAGTCTCTCATTTGTGCACCCAATTGATGTGCTAAAACTTTGTTGCAGCGCCTAAAAGCCACCAAATGCCCCACGGACGAGCTGTCGCTCACCAATCGCGCGATTGTCAATGTCGGCGACTTTCCCGACGATGTCAAGTAAGTGCCGCCACAAAATCAATGCCAAAATTGTATCACTAAACCCCCCCCAAAAGGTACGCGGACATTTCGCCCGCACCTGGGCAGCACTTCATTTTTGCTCTCGAGAAGACCGTGGAGGTGCCGCGGGGCTATGTGGGCTTCTCGCTGGTGCAGCGCAAGTGGGCCATGGTGTCCATCAACCAGGAGCTGGAGGTGCGTCCGTATAGGTTTGATGCCAGCTCCGATGTCATTACGTGTGTGTCCTTCGAGACGGACTTTTTGCAAAAGAAAACGTGAGTGGAAATGGGCGCCGAGATGGCGAATGCTGGCTGGAAACTGCCTGTTTCCCTTTTGCCTGTTGCAGCGTCTCCCAGGAGCCCTACGACTCGGACCAGATGGCCAAGGAGTTCATTATGCAATTCGCAGGCATGGCCCTGACCGTGGGTCAGTCTTTGGTCTTCAACTTCAAGGAGAAGAAGCTGCTGGGACTGGCGGTCAAGTCGCTGGAGGCCATCGACCCCAAGACCTTGGGCGAGGGCAAGGAGGCGGCCACGAGGAATGTGCGCTTCGGCCGCATCCTGGGCAACACGGTGGTGCAGTTCGAGAAGGCGGAGAACAGTTCGCTGAATCTGCAGGGCAAGTCCAAGGGCAAGGTGGTGCGGCAGTCGATCATCAATCCGGACTGGGACTTCGGCAAGATGGGCATCGGCGGCCTGGACAAGGAGTTCAATTCGATATTCCGGCGAGCGTTTGCCTCGCGCGTCTTCCCCCCGGAGCTGGTGGAGCAGCTGGGCTGCAAGCACGTGAAGGGCATCCTCCTGTACGGTCCCCCGGGCACCGGCAAGACCCTGATGGCCCGCCAGATTGGCACCATGCTGAATGCCCGCGAGCCGAAGATCGTCAACGGACCGCAGATCCTGGACAAGTATGTGGGCGAGTCGGAGGCGAATGTGCGGCGTCTGTTTGCGGACGCCGAGGAGGAGGAGAAGCGCCTGGGACCGAACAGCGGGCTCCACATCATCATCTTCGACGAGATCGATGCCATCTGCAAGCAGCGGGGCTCCGTGGCGGGCAACAGCGGTGTCCACGACACCGTCGTCAATCAGCTGCTCACGAAGATCGACGGCGTGGACCAGCTGAACAATATTCTGGTCATTGGCATGACCAATCGGCGGGACATGATCGACGAGGCGCTGCTGCGGCCGGGCAGGCTCGAGGTGCAAATGGAAATCAGTCTGCCCAACGAGCAGGGCCGCGTGCAGATCCTCAACATCCACACGAAGCGGATGCGCGACTTCAACAAGATCAACGAGGATGTCGACTGCAAGGAGATTGCGGCCCTAACCAAGAACTTCAGCGGTGCGGAGCTGGAGGGTCTGGTGCGTGCCGCCCAGTCCAGTGCCATGAATCGTCTGATCAAGGCGGACGCCAAGGTCACCGTCGATCCGGAGGCCATCGAGAAGATCAAGGTGAATCGCGACGACTTCCTGCACTCGCTGGAGAACGACATCAAGCCGGCGTTTGGCACGGCCCAGGAAATACTCGAGAATATGCTGGCCCGTGGCGTCATCAATTGGGGCACGCCCGTGAGCAATCTGCTGGAGGATGGCATGCTGTATGTGCACCAGGCACAGGCGCCCGAGTCGAGCGGCCTCGTCTCGGTGCTGATCGAGGGAGCGCCCAACTCGGGCAAGACGGCGCTGGCCGCCCAGCTGGCCAAGATGTCGGACTTTCCCTTCGTGAAGGTCTGCTCGCCGGAGGACATGGTCGGGTACACCGAGTCGGCCAAGTGTCTGCACATTCGCAAGATCTTCGACGACGCCTATCGCTCCACACTCAGCTGCATTGTGGTGGACAATGTGGAGCGGCTCCTGGACTACGGCTCCATTGGGCCACGCTACTCCAACATGACGCTCCAGGCGCTGCTCGTGCTGCTCAAGAAGCAGCCGCCCAAGGGCCGCAAGCTGCTCATTTTGTGCACCTCCAGCAGGCGGTGAGTTCCCAGTGCCCTTCCCTGCTGTTTCCCCCTTTAATCATACTCCCCTTTTGCAATCAAGTGAGGTGCTGGAGGAAATGGAAATGCTGACAGCCTTCACCTCGGTGCTGCACGTGCCCAATCTCTCCAGTCCGGAGCACGTCCTGTCCGTGCTCGAGCACACGGATCTCTTCAACAAGGGCGAGGCCCAGGCCATTGGCAAGAAGATGGCAGGCAAGCGGTGGGTCCAGGGTCCCAGGTGCTCCCAGAGAGCCTCGAAGTTGATACTCTTTTATCCTCCTTTTCAGCGTCTTCATTGGCATTAAGAAGCTGCTGGGCTTGATCGACATGGCCCGGCAAACGGAGCAGTCGCAGCGTGCCATCAAGTTCCTGTCCAAAATGGAGGAGGAAGGCGGCCTGGACATGGTCGCCCGGCAATAAGCGAACTCACTCCTTGCTGTCTCAATTATTAGCTACTAACTGAGGGAACGGAGCGCCGCTTATAACTATAATTACAACAAATAGTTCATTAGATCCAGACCCGCGTGACCTGATCGATGGCCAGCTAAACATTTCTTTTTGTTTTTTAATTTGTCGTTAAAAAATGATTGGGGATTCGTCGCTGATTGATTGAATCCACTGAAATGTGTACACCAAAAGCTATATTAAATAATTGTTAATCGCCAATGTTATAGCTATTTATATATACAATTATATTATACACCAAAAGAAAGGAAGCGAAAACGACACTGAAGGACGACGTCTGGTTAGGGGAGCGGAGAAGTTCGTTTTTTGCATGTAAAAAATACTCTAAAAATAAAATACGTTATTAGCAATATAATTATAATAATACAAATAATAATATGTAATTCCTCCTCCTTCCCACTACTTGCTAGTTAATTCATTTATTATGCAAACTTATCAAAACTCACATTTAAATATTGTTCACCCGACAAAAAATGTTATAAATATTTATCTACTTGTATCTTCAATAAAGACAAAGCAACAAAACTAAAAACCATGAAGAATCTCTCTAAACCTTTAGCAATAAAGAAGAGCCTTTTCGGACAATCAATATTGTGCAAAATGAATTGATTAATCGTTTAAAATTATAGTTTTAGCGCTGTGCATGCCAGCTAGCTGGTAATATTAAGCAGAAGCTCAAAGTTGAGCAAAATGATCAAAGATATGCGGTATTTTTTTTTTGTAAATGTTATTTGGTATCTATTTATCGATAACTTCGCGGTCGCAGTGATGGTCAGTGTTGGCATCCTGAAATGGAAAGAGACGGAGAATATGAACCACCTGACAGTTGCCGGGCAACGACAAAAACTCAGTTGGCTTTTGCCCAGTTGTTTGTTGCTTTTTGTGTGTATTTCGGCTCGTCACATCACAGAACGAAACATGGTGCGCAGTAAGTGGAAACCGCAAGAGTTCTCCAAGAGTTTATTCCAACTTATTTCCAACAGTCACCGAGGAATTGGTGCGCAAGAAGTCGGAGCACAATGAGCGGCTGATCAGCACACTGGAGGAGATCTCGCTGCATCAGGAGGACATTGAGCGGATTGAGCATGTGCAGAACTGGTGCAGAGAGCTCAAGATTCTGCTGCTGCAATCGAATCTCATTGCACGCCTCGAGAACCTCCACAAGCTGAAGCGCCTGGAGTACCTCAATCTGGCGGTGAACAACATCGAACGCATCGAGAACCTGGAGGCGCTGGAGTCGCTCAACAAACTCGATCTCACGCTCAACTTTATCGGGGAGCTGACCAGCGTGGAGTCGCTGCGCGGCAACTACAATCTCCGGGAGCTGCTCCTCATTGGCAATCCCTGCGCGGATTATCCGCACTATCGGGAGTACGTGGTGGCCACGCTGCCGCAGCTGCAGAATCTCGACTCCCAGGAGATTTCCCACTCGGAGCGGCTGCAGGCACAGCGGCAGCTGGGGAAGCATCGCTCGATCATTGTGCAGCGGCAGGCGGATCAGGCCATCGAGCGGGACGAGCAGCGAGTCCGCGTGGCCGAGCAGCAGGCGGCGCTGGCCGATCAGTGCGCGGACATCGAGGACGAGGAGGAGCGCACGCGCGCCTTCTGGAACGCCAAGAGCGAGCACTGCCCGGAGATACGCACAGAGATCGCCCGACGGCATCGCCTGGGCAGGGAGAAGCACGAGCCGCAGTCCGCGCTGCCACAGGCCAAGCGACAGCCGCACCTCTTCGCCCCCTGCGGCCGCCCGTACAACCTCAACCAGGCGAAGCTGCCCTTCAGCTTCCAGGACGAGGCCGATCACTACTCGCTGGAGCTGCAGGTCTACCGGCACCTGGACACGGCCTTGATTGACGTCGATGTGCAGACGAACTACACGCGCGTCACCGTCAAGGGAAAGATCTTTCAGATTGCCTACAACGAGGAGGTGCAGCCCGGCGAGTCCACAGTTCAGCGTTCCCAGGCCACGGGCCACCTGATGATTATCCTCAAGAAGTTGAAGGTCAACGAAATGCTCACCATCAAGCGCAGTACTAAGGCCAAGGGGTGAGTCAGCAAATCTGGCTACTGTGTGGTACCCTTTACTGTCTCTTTCTTTCAGAGCCACTGGACAGGAGTCGCTGCCCCTACGCGGCGCTGTGGACATTGCCAACATCTGTCCGCCCGACGATCTGCCAGATTTGATTTAGACTTTTACTCGCTTTCATATTTCTTTCGTTCATCAATCAATCAATCAATCAGTCATTCAATCAGCCATCCTACACTATTATTATACATTTAAAATGCAATAAATGGAGCTAAATATGTGGAATTTTTATGTGATGCACGCATCCGAAGAGCACAGCGAATCATCTGCCCTCTTTTTCTTTTTTATATTGCTACAAATTAAAAACCTATTTTGCAAGCACTTCACACAAAATAAGTCATGAGAACCAGCCAATCATGTGGAGAATTCATTGATAAACCGTATAAAACTCTATTATTAGCGCTGCAAATCCTGACTAGTTAGCACTATTGAATAGAACATCAAAATGGATGAAAATGATTTAAGATTTATGGTATATTTGCGGTATGTTTTGAACTTTAAGAAAGTATATTTCGGTCATTTCTGAGGGTCGTGCCGCAGCGTTGCCAATTCAGCTCTTTTCCCACTAGGTCTAGCGTTTTTCAACTGCCAAAAAGGGATGGGAGCGGGTTGCGGGAATTATAGCTTTGTAAATCTAGCATTATTGCTAAACAGCCAAACATAGATATGTCAGTCTTCGTGGTCTTCGAACCAAATGCCGTTTGTTGCATTATAAAGTGCCAGCAGAATGCTGAAAGCGAAGACAGAGTGACTTACTTAAGTTCAGCTTGAGAAGACTTTATCATTATATCAATAAAAATAACGTTTCACTACTCCAGCGTTTTTTTTAGCTGTCATCAAATTTGTCTGGCTATTTCTAGCTTTTTTCTGACCCGAAGAGTTGGCAGCACTGGTCGTGCGATGCATTTTATCGATAGGTCCGCTGTCAGAAACACGCACGTGCCCACTAAACTTGTATTTTCCATATTTGGCTGTTGTTTTGGGACGCCGCCGTCCCCTCTCTGCACTCTGCACTTCGCACAACAAACGCCGCACGAACAACGCCGCACAAGTCGCTGAAATGGGCAAGAATAAGCGCAAGAACAAGCAGCAGCAACAGCAACAGCAACAGCAACAGCCGTCGCAGTCCCAGGCCCAGGCCCAGGCCCAGACGCCAACGCAGACGCAGTCGGATGCAGCCTCTGGATCTGGTTTGGCCCTGACCTCGGCCTTGGGCTCAGCTGAGGGGGGAAATCAAGCAAGTGGCAGTCAAGGTCTTCAGGACAAGAACAACATCGATGGAAAACGCTTCCCCAGCCTGAGTGGCCAGCGGGGCGAGCTGAACGCGCTGGTGGTGCGCCTCCTCGAGCTGGTGGCCATGCAGCCGGCCAATCCCAACGAAGAGTGGAAGCAGTATGTGGAGCTGCAGCTGCGCCTACAGCGCATCATGGTGCTGGAGGAGCCGTTGCAGCGGGCCGTCTGCCTGGACACCAGCGATGACCAGACGCGCCTGGCCAAGGTGAACGCCTTCAGCGAGTGGGCCAAGGCGGGAGGCGTGAAGAGCGATTGCCTGGAGATAGCCATCTTCCCGGGCTATCAGCTGGGCCTGCGCGCCACCCAGGACATTGCCGCCGAGCAGCCAGTGCTGAGCGTGCCCCGCACGCTGATCTTCTCCGAGGAGCACTTGCCCGAGACCGACCGCAAGCTCTTCTGCAACTTTCCGCTGCTGACAAACTTCAATCTGGCCTATGCCCTGGTCATCGAGAAGGTGCGCGGCCCCGACAGCGTCTGGCGTCCCTACATCGACGTCCTGCCGGCCCGCTACAACACCGTCCTCTACTTCACCATTGAGCAGATGCAGCGCCTCCGCGGCACCGCTGCCTGCACCTCGGCACTGCGCCAGTGCCGCGTTATTGCCCGCCAGTATGCCAACATGTACAAGTGTGCCCACATTCGCCCCGAGGCCAGCAGCGCCTCCTCCATGGGCGTGCTCTTCACCCAGCACGGCCTGTGCTACGAGCTCTATCGGTAAGTGATTCCAATTAGATGTTCAGCAATAATCAATTGGTGGCTGCTTAACAGTGGCCGAATTGCGCCCAAAAATACATCTGTTAAGTTAACATAGCGACAGCAATGTTAAGCTGCAGTGCAGAGCCATGTTAAGCTGCAGTCTTAACAGTGCCCATGCTAACTAACAGTGCAGCTGGCATGCAGCTAACAGTACTGCACTTGGGTCGCTTTTGTGCGGCCATTTCCAGTCTCCACAGGTGGCAGGAATCGCCTACGAACATCCATGGCAGTATATGTATTCTTACCCCCCCGCTGGTGGGTTTTCTGTGGAAATATTTTCAAAGTTCTCAGCCAAAATGTTTGCTTCTACATTTTAATTCTCGAAAAAAAAAATGAAATTGAAACTTATTTACATACATATTTGAGCGTGCTTAGACATAGATACATTTGTATGCATATTTCTATTTCTATTTATCGGTATGTCTATGATGCATATACTCCTACGGTCGCCCGACTTTCTAGTCCATCAAATTCTAGAGTGGAAGGTGTGACGTGTGAGGATTGGGGCTGGGGGCTGAAAGAGAAAATCAAATCTATTCTCTTGTTGGGCATTTATGAACATTTATGCCTATTAGTGTGCATTTAGTCGGTGTTCGCTTTTTGTTGCTGTTGCTTGCTGCCTTCCTCCCTCTTCCCTTTTGTTCGAGCATTTTAATTTGGTTTTTTTCATCTTGTTTTCTTTTTCTCTCAGTGCCAAAGAATTTGTTTCCTGTTTTTGCTTTTCTTTTAATATTTATTGTCCTCATAAGTTTTTCTCTTTTTTTGTTTACTCTTAGTCTTCGATTTTCGGGCTTGGAGTCTGAACACAACTGTACTTTTATTTTACTTTTGGCTACGATTCTTCTCTGTTTTTTTGCTGCTATTCCTACTTTCCCTTTTGTTTTCGCTTGGTGCTTTAGAAACCCATTTGAATGCCGTGTTCTATGTGCGTGCATTTATGTGTGAACTTGAAAGATCTTCAGCATGGATCTGGAGGCTTGCAACACTAAGTACAGTCGCGCTTCGTGGCCATGCGGAATGAGCAATGAGGATTGTGGGAGGTCTGGAGTCTGGAGTCTGGGTGTCTCCTGTCGTTCAGTTTAGGGTCTTAGTTTTAGCTTCTCGCACAGAATTGATTCTAATCGAAATTTGAGCACACACAAAAAAAATGTTTCACTTCTTTCTTAGACTAAACTAATTAATTAACTAACTTTTACGCGCTCTCTCTCTCTCTGTAGATTTGTTTATCTGTGTGTGTGTGTGTGTGCCTATCGCCCTATCGTTTATCGCTCAGTTATCGATAGCCTGGTGCCTAATTGTCGAACGACTTGCGCAACGTGTCGAACAGATACTCCTGCACCTCCGGCGAATTGGGATCCATGGTGTTTAGCTTCTGGTGTGCACTGCGCAGCGAGAGGGCCAGCGAGGCGGAGGCTGAACTGCCGCTGGAGCTGCCTGCAGCTGCACCAGTTCCAATTCCAGTTCCAGCTCCGCCTCCGCCTGTCGTGGTCATGGAGGTGGCCGTGCTCAACGTGGCCGATCCGTCGCGTGTGAAGAGCATTGAGCTTTGGCGCTGCAGCTGGTGGACGGGCGTGCAGCAGGAGACGGCGGTCGAGATGCTCGCAATGCCAATGCCTGGGGCTCCTGTTCCCGCCGATGGGGCCGCCCCTCTGCTGGAGCCAATGACCAGCTCCTCCATGTGCTGGCGCATCGAGGAGCGACGCGAGACGGAGGCCGAGGCACCCGACTGTGCCATCTGCGGCAGCTTGCTCTTCATCGCATTGTAGGTCCTCAGATAGCTGGTCTTGCGCCGGCGATGCTGCTTCCAGCGGCACACCACAAAGATCACAAGAAAGGTGGCCAGGGCGGTGATCACGATGGCGGCACTGGCAACAATCGCCGACCGAATGCCGGACGGCATGCTGGCATACACTGTGCCCAGATGCTGTTGGGACACCGAGGTGGCCGCCGCGGCCGCCGGACTGCGATGGAAGCCGGGTCCGGACAGCTCCAGGTCGAGCAGATCGTGCGCCCGTGCCACCTCCTCCTCGATCTCATCGATCACATTGTCGTTCGCCGGCAGCAGCTTGCTGTTGGCCAGCTGTGACCTGTTGCCGTCTTCGCCTCCAGCTCCACCGTAGGGACTGACGCTCAGGTTGATGTCGATGCTGCTCGGCTCGAGCAGCTCATCCGGATCCGTGTCCACCTCCTGGGCACTGCCATTCCCATCGAGCAGCAGTCGCGGCGGTGGCAAAAAGTAGCCATTCCGCTCCTCCGTGGCCGTGGCCGTGGCCGTGGCCAGCGAAGCCAGCGCCAGCGTCTTCCACGACGGGAAGAACCCCAGCGACTTCTCTCCGCGCGACTGTTGCTGACGATTGAAGGAGACTCCTGCTGCTTGCGAGGCGGACGATGTCTGGGCATAGGCGGGTCCTGCAATTAGACGAAAAGCGAGAAGCGAACAAAATGGTGGGTGGTGGGGCGAAAGAGCAGACAGACAGAGTTGCGGATCGGGGATAGGGGATCAAGGCTTAGAGCGTGTGTGTGTGTGTCTCTGTGTGTGTTTTGTGTGTGTCTGGGATTGTGGACGGGGGGTTGCGGACACTCGCGACGACCAACTCAGACCAACTTCTCTTGCTGTTGGCGTTGCTGCCAGCGCTGGCGTTGGTTTCGTAGCCGCAAGGCGGTAATACCTCGATTCCCACCGGACTGCTGCTGCTGCTGCTCGCTCTCGTTCGGCTCAATGTCGATGATGGATGTGAAGTAGCTGGAGCCCTGCGAGTCCGTCTTGATCTCATCGGGCTTGACGCTCTTCAGGTCCATGAGATTGAAGTGCGGAAAGTTCTCAAAGGCCGTCACAATGTCCATGTTGTCCTGCAGCACCACCTTCTGGCCGGGATAGAAGCGCGAATGCTCGTCGCCGCCGCTCACGATCGTGGACAGATGCAGCTGGCTGGAGCCGCGTTTCCGGTGCTCGATCAGCTCCTCCAGCGTCATGTTGCGCTGCTCGAGCACCTTGAACAGCCGATTGCCCGAGCGTCGATCCTCGATAAGTTCCAGCAGATCGGTGCGATCGTCCACATCGTCCACCAGAGTCAGTTGTGGCTGTGGCTGTGGCTGCGGCTGCGATGCAGAAGGTTGTGGCTCGATATCCCTCTCGGGTGCCGGCACACGTGTGTGATGCGTGTGGCTCTCCACTTCGTCAAAGAAGTTCTCCAGATCGTCATCGTGGTAGTTGAGCTCCTCGCTGGCATTGCCGCCCGGCTGTGCTGCCGATGGTGGTGCTGCCTCTGTGCTGTTGCCTCTCGCATCCACCGCATCCAGCTGCACATCTTCCATGCTCTCCACCGCATTCCTGTCGTAGTGCTGCTGTATAAAGTTATCCTTGAGTCGCTTTTGGCTCTCCTTGCTGCTGGCATTGCGCAGTCTATGACGTGGATTGCTCGTGCTGCTGCTCGCAGGTGGTGCCTCCGTTTGTGCCATCTCCCCAGACTCCACTTCAATCGAATCGGGCTCGGTTTCGGGTTCAGGCTCCTCCTGCTCCTGCTCCTGTTCCTGCTCTTCAATCTCCTCAATGCTGTTGGCCAATGTGCTCGTAATGATGGGCGTGCTCGTGTCCACCTCCAGGCTGCTGCTGCTGCTGCTGCTGCTGGTTGTGGTTGTGGTGGTTGCTGCTGTCGTGCTGCTGCTGCTGCTGCTGGCTGCCTTGAACAGCCCCGGGGGCTTCAGCGTGGGGCGCAGGTGTTGCCTCTTCTTGTAGAGCGGCAATCGCGTGGTGGTGGTGGTGCTGCTGCTGCTGCTGCTGGGTGCCACTGTGCTGCCCGCAGTGGACTGCTGGCTGCGTCTTGTGGTGCTGCTCTCACGGGAAGAGCTGCCAAAGAGCTTCAAGCGCTGCAATGTGGGAAACTTGGCTCGCATCCTCAGAGACTCTTCCTCCTCGCTCTCCTGGCTGTGGCTGTGGCTGGGGCTGGTTGTGGTGCTGCTCAGATACGCACTCGGTAGGCGCCGCACGCCCTGCTTGCTCTGTTGGCTCTGCTTCTTCTGCACTGCTTCCCCTTGCGGCTGTGGGGGCGGGGCTATGGCCGTGGTCTGCAGGGCAAGCAGTGCATTCTGCTTGCCCTTGAGCAGATCGTCCAGCGAGAGATTCTTCTGCTGCAAAATCTCACTGAGACTCAGGCCGCCCGAGTTCTTCAGAATGTTCTTGAGGTCCACCGATGTCTGCAGCTTGCCCCCACTGCCAGGTGCCTCCTGCTCCTGCTCCTGCTCGTGTTCCTGCTTCTTGGACTGTCCGTAGGGCCGGCGATAGGCTTTGCTCTGGCTGCTCGCCTGCGCGCTGGCATCCAGCGTGGATGCTGGTATGTGTGTGGGCTCCTGCCGTTGCCGCTGCTTGTCCCGCTCGCGTTCCAGCGCTGCCATCGGCTCCCTGACCAGCGGCTGCTTGCGTCGCCTCAGTGCATCGGCATCGTCCTCGACATGACCACGCCAGTAGGTCGATCCAGCGCCAGAGCCAGCTGCCGTGTCCTCTTCGGTGACTCCCAGCGCTGCCAGCGGCAATTGGGGTCGACGCTTTCGCTTCCGCATGCCCGCCTGGGCAATGCGACGACGATTCCCATTCCCATTTCCATTACCGTTCCCATTCCCATCATTCCCAGCTGTGCCCTTGCCATCGTCCACAATCAGCGAGACGCCCGTCTGCAGCAGCTGCGGAAAACAGAAGAAACAAAAAAAAGATTACAAAATATTTCTATTGCTTTTGCTGTTGCTGTTATTGCGAAGGTTCGTGTGGAAGTGTGTGTTTATTGTACAACTGATTGATGGAGACGAGACGCATTGATTGATGGCTCCAATGAGTCTGCCCAGAAAATGGAGAAGAGAAAAAATGCAAAGTCGTGGCTAGAGAATGCCGAAATCCCGCACCATTACACGCATTTCTCTCACGTCATTTGCCGTGACAACTCTCTTTTCAGCCGCTGCCTGCCTGCCTGCTGCTTCTCTTCCTCTGCTTCTCTCTCTCTTTTTCTCTGCCGCTGCATCTGCCTGTGTCTCTTCCTCTGCCGCTGTCTCTGCCCTTGCTTAGAAATATTTGTCTTAGAGCAACAATTTAAGCAAAACTGGCAGGGCTATGTAACATTTTACATTAATTTATGTAAATTGCAAGCATTCTTGTCATCAATTTGGCTGTGGCTGATTTCGTTTCAACGATGCATAATGAATGGGTTTGCGCCGGGGGCGCCTTTTGTGCTCACGTAATTAGTTTTCAATCAGAATTCAGGGCAGCAGCGGACACTGAGTAGCTGCAGCTGAGATGCAGATAACGGTACACATCTGTGGGTGTGGGTGTGGGTGTGTGTGCAATGTCATTATGTATGTGTGCATAATGCATGTTGCGTTTGTGTGCCTAAACCATCATCATCCGCATACAATCAGCCTAATGCAGATTGGCCATGTATGAGTGGGGGAAGAAGCATGCGGCTTTCCATTGAACAGGGGCCCCCGTGAATAGAGCCTTTGCACCATGCGTGATGCTTGAATGGATGGATGGATGGATGGATGGATGGATGGATGGATGCATAGTGAATGAACTGGCAGACTGAAAGGCACAAAGAGAGACAGTGGAAATAATTAACCAAAATGGAAATGACACAAAAATGTGCCAGTGCAAAGCGAAACTAAATTTGTTGACGAAAAACTTGTTCCTTTGGCGACAGCAACAAAAACTCATTACTCTTGGCCAAGAGAAATTGTGTAAGGAAAGCTGCAAGTTTTGCCTCAGTTGCGAAATGAAAACTGCCACACAATGCAAAAATAATGGCAAGCTGAAAAGAAGCAAACGAACAACGACAGAGAGACAGAAAGACAAGAAGTGCGAGCAAAGTCGTTGCCATAAGACTGAAGAAAATCGAATCGACAAGAAAGGGAATAGAGAATGCCGAAATCCCGCACCATTACACGCATTTCTCTCACGTCATTTGCCGTGACAACTCTCTTTTCTGGCGCTGCCTGAATGTAGCTCTGCCGCTGCCTGCCTGCTGCTGCTTCTCTCTCTGCCCTTTCCTCTGCTTCTGTCTCTGCCGCTGCTTCTGCTTCTCTTCCTCTGCTTCTCTTCCTCTGCCGCTGGCTCTGCTTCTGCTTCTGCTTCTGTCTCTGACTCTACCTCTGTGACTCCTTTCCAGCTCACGTTGGTTTCAATATTTTCTCTGGTTCTTTTTCCTGTTTGCGGAATGAGCGAAAGGAGCCAGCCGTCTATGCATGAGCAATGAAGGCAGAGCGACATGAGCCGGCAATCCGATTGTATTGCAAGAGTCTCAACTTGTCCCAAGGAACAAACACGCAAATTTCAGACAGCGGAGAGAGGGAGAGCGGGAGAGCATCGGTAAGGCAGTCGAGCAACTGCACTTCATTTGCATTGGGAGCAGGCAAAGAGGAGCTTGAATATGCACAACAATAACCATGGCCATGATAACTAATTAATATTGAGGAATAATTAAGCGAAAGTGCAATCGGTGCAAACAAGTCAAAAGGCAGTGTAGAAAAGCTGTGTACAAGATGTGTCAAACATTGTGATGTGGGGAAAAGCGTTGAACTTGTCATCGATAGGGCCCACCAAGGCGCCTGCCAAGGTGAGACACTGCCTGCGGCAGCGACACCAAAACTTTCTCGCTACTTAGGGAGGGTGAGACTTCTTTGTATGCTGATTGACTAAAGGCAAAGTCAGGCTCAAAGCACACTCACTTGAGGCTTTCCAACACTGGCCGTGCGCACTGATAACTTATTATTACTCTTATGAAAAAATATTCACCCACTCGTGAGTCTGGGGAAACTTTTTGCCATAGGGACATATAATACAAAGGGAAAATGGTTGAGTGAGAAAAAAGTTAAGAGATTCTCCTGCCGCCAGCCGCCAGCCGCCACTCCTCTTCCCTTTTGCAAGAGTTTTTGGTGGGAAAGTCGGAGTGCCTTTTGCTGGTGTTGTTTTTGTGGTTTCGGTTTTGGTTCTCGCTCTGATTTCTGGCTCTAGTTGCTGCTGATTTCTAACAAAGTGAGTGGCGGCGAGGCCCGGCCCGGCCCGACCCTTGACCACTTCAGAGCAAGTTGCTGCTTTTCATAATTAAATTGAAAAATTTATGCACAATTAAATGGAAAACTTTTCGTTGTGGTCAGACGGCGGAAAGCCAAAAAGCTCTTTCCTTTCAGCTCTCCATTCATTTTCCTTTGCTTGTTTTTTCGGCAATTGCAGCTGGGCCGTGTCGACGGTGATGACGCGCCAGAATTTGGTGCCGCGCCAGCTGCAGGCCAACGAGGATGGCGACGATCTCAGCCAGTTGCCCATCTCGGCCTTGATCCCCTACTGGGACATGGCCAACCACAGGCCAGGGAAGATAACGTCCTACTATGACAGCGGCGTGCACCAGATGGACTGCACGGCCCAGGAGGACTGCAAGGCCGGAGAGCAGTTCTTCATCTACTACGGCGATCGATCCAATGCCGATCTGCTGGTCCACAATGGGTGAGTGCGGGGCGGCTCAGAGACCTCTAACTGAAACTCTAATTGTCTCTCTCGCAGCTTCATCGATGTGAACAACCGCAAGGACTATGTGAAGATCCGCTTGGGCCTGGGCCAGTCCGACCCGCTGGTGGAGCAGCGTGCCAAGATCCTGGCACGTCTCAACATTGAGCGCAAGGCGGAGCTGCGGGTGCTGCCGGCACCCGAGCACATCTCCGGCGAGCTGCTGGCCTTTGTGCGCGTCTTCAATATGAGCGCCGATCAGCTGGAGCATTGGGGCAGCGATCTGGAGCGCGCCGTCGATCTGCTGCACATCGACTGTGCCCTGGAGACGGACCACGAGACGCGCACCTGGCACTACTTGTATCAGCGGCTCAAGCTGCTGCTCGGCGTGCTCGAGGCCACGTGCAAGGAGTCCGAGGAGCTGCAGCAACTGGAGCAGCTGCAGCTGACGGACGGGCCAGAGGCCAAGCAGAAGCAGCCGGGACAGGACATCGATCTGCTGGTGGTGCAGTATCGCCAGCTCGAACGCCGCATACTCGCCGACGCCCTGCAGTATGCACAGGAGCGGTGCAAGGTCTAGGGCGGTTGGGCCCCACGCCTGCACAACCCAAGCAGATGCGAAATTCGAGTGGCCATCTACGCGGGAATAACTAAGCTACTCCCTTAGACAGTAACGACACAAATGCGTTTACTTAAGTTTAATTTATTTTTAATTTCAATTGTTTTTGTTTTTTCTCGAAGTCGTTTGAAACCAAAAGAACACACACATCCTCATGCCTCATGCCTCATGCTCTCCTCCATCGATAGTTTATCTACATGGTAGTCTACATTGTATCTACATGTTAGTTGACATTGTCTCGGTCCCAGCACGCACCCAGAAATTTGATTATGAATCGAGTTGCTAGCGAGAATTATTTGTTTTGTTTTCATTTGTTTTTCCTTTTTTCTCCATTTATTTGTAATATTTTTTTTTTGTTTACGAAAATAAATATGAAAATTAAGTACAGAATTGTTCTCGGCGTGCCCTTGCACCTTATCGAACACTGCTCCACGCGTCACCCCAGTTCAAAGAGCTAAAAGCTTCTCGATGGCCTATGACACGCTTGGCTGCTCGACAACCCTTTCTGTGCTGCCAAGAATGGATGGTTTACATTTTCCCCATGGCCGATTTGTGAGCTCTTTGCTCTTCGTTTGCTCAAGCATAAGTATGTGGGCTGTGTGTGTGTGTGTGTCACCATTCAATTGCCAATAACTAAATGACTTGCCAGACGTCCAGCTCTGACAGCCTCAAAAAGCAATCAATTTGCAAATCTAAATGCCCACACAGCCACACCGCTCGGATGCCGCCAGTGTTGGTAGATGTAAAATATTTGATTACGTTGGGGAAAGGAGTGTGTGCAGGTCAACACTGCACTGATGGAGGGACAAGTGGAAGTCGATCAGGCAAGCTGCAGTGGCATCCCACCTCTCGTGGGAGCTCTTAGCTGCTTATGGGACCCCTTCGCTGCCCCTGCCAGTGTTGTGTTTGGTGTGTGTGTCAGGGTTGCTGAATTAACGGCATCGCCGACAACAATGCACTCGGCATGGCCAGCTTCAAGTGTTGTTAATTGTGGACCCAATGGAAGCTGCAACTTCAGGCAATGATAATGATGATGTTGCTGCGGCTGGGAAGCCAAATTGCGATTTGCGAATTGCGATTTGCGAACACTCGCAGAAATGTCATTAAAATGGCTCGACAACCCACAAAACTCAATATGCACGAGGCACTGCCACTGCTCGTACTCGCATTGCCGTCGGGAAGGCCTCGACTGACATTTGATTTGACACTCGAATAGCTATTTTCCGTATGCACATCCAGAGTGGTGAGTGGGGAGTGGGGAGTGTGGAGTGTGGAGTGCCCACCACACCTGCCCCACTCGACACAGAGTGTTGCCACAGAGTTGGCACTCAATTTTCACGCTCGTTTGGGGAAAAGGTTTCCCTGTTGCTGTGCGAAAAGTGTGTTTAGGCAGTTGATTGAAATATTTGAAATATTCGAATGGGCTGGCGGGCAAACTGGGTCGTGGGTTGTGGTGGGGGTGGAGCACCGTTATCGATTCGCTCTCAACGCTGATCTCTCTCTCTCTCTCTCTCTCTCTCTGTCTCTGCCTCGAACTCTGCTAATTGCTTCGACAATTTTGTTGTGCCGGCCAAAGCAATTAGCAAATGGCAAATGTTCGCTACACTCCGTACCCAAACTATGCACTCTCCAGGATGCTCTCGACAATGCACAAAACTTAAGCTGCTTAAAATGCATGCACCATGGGCCATAAAAATGATGACCGCTCCGAACAAAAAGCGAACCAAATTGTTGACACACACACCGCACAGCCCGCACAGCCAGCACAGCCCGCTGCTCGGCCCGCCTCCAGCATAGCACCCACACACTCGGTGCAGGGTGCTTGCTTGCTTGCGGGCAGAACATGTGTACGCGTACCGTTCTATACATGTATACTGCAGAACTTAGCTCTATACTTAGGGGTAATGTAGTGGTGCTCATCAGCGCCTATTTGCTTTTGTTTGTCAGTGATTAAGTACAGTGTTTAAGTATGGATTACTACACTGGGCCGCCTCGAGTTACTCACACTTTCGCTACAACTTTGAGCAGCACGCACCTTTGCTTATATGCATAAATATGTATGTATACATGTATTTTGTTTGGGGCTCGCGCCGTGTGGGAAGTGTGCCGACACCCTGTACTCGACTGAATAAATGCCGTTGAGTGTCGAGGGTCTTTCTCTCTGTGTGTGTGCGTGTGTTTGCTTGTTTTTGTGTATTTCTCCGTGCGTGTACGCGTTATTTGTTCGGAAACTGTTGCCAACTGCTGGAATTCCTTTTGTGTGTGTGTGTTTCTGCCTTTTATTTTGTTGTCGGAAATAAATCTATCCACCCCCAGCCACCTTGCACCATCCACCGACCCGTGGTTAGGGGCGGCATGTTTGCTTAAATCCATGCTTTGTCTCGCTCGCCCTGCTGTACAACGGCACTGCACTACACCTCTCCTCCCCCTTAAGCACTTAAGCGCATTTCCATAGATTTTAAGGCGATTTGATTTTCAACGCTCATTTGCATGCGACCAATTGCTGTTGTCACCGCATACAGTTGTTGTTTGTTTGTTTTTGTTGTTGGACTAGAGCTCATGTTGTTCGGCTTGTTGCTGCTGCTGCTGCTGCTGATGCAGGATGTTGCCATTATTAAGTTATGCTCTTTGTTGTCGCTTTGTGTATTATCAAATGATTGCATTTATTTGCCCAACTTAAACGTTTCAGTATTGGCTTAGTTTGCATTTTGACATTTGCTAAAGTCAGAACAACAATAGAAAACATAAAAAAACCATGAACAGGAAATGTTAAAATATGTACAAATAAAAGTTACAGCGAATCGAACTTGTATTCTGCTCTCTATGTGAATGAAATCTCTTTCGGCTTCTCTTGGGCCGATCTGCTTTGGGCTCTCATCTTAATTCGCTCTTTCGCTCTTGTGCGTTGCGAATTCGCCCTCGCTCGTTTTTGCTGCCCAGCCACACATGCACTCACATTCTTCTTGCTTCTCTGCCGCTGCGCAGGTTCGCTGTGCACTCGAAGCTTTTACGCTGTGCGTGCGTCGACTGCGCTGCACGAGGTAGGGCGCTGCCTCTGATCTTCTTCTATGTACAACAGTGGGCAGGACTGTCCTGGCACACTATAATATTTGTGTTATCTTTGACTTTCTTGACATTAAACTTACAGAGTACTGACTTTACTAACAGCAAGACAGAATTCATGACCGATGGTTCACTTCGTTTATCATCTTTCCATATAATGACTTCTTTGATTCGAATTTTGGCATATTTTATCTGAATTTTTTCATTTACATATTTTAGCATTTCTTAACCTCTCGTTTTCTCTCTCTCTCTCTCTCTCTCTCACACTTCTTAAACCAGCAGCAGCCGTTATATCTGCCAGTGCAGGCTATGAATACCGCACTGCTTGCAAATGAGCGAACATTTTTCCAGTGCTTTTGCTATGATTCCTTTGACATTGTCGCATGTTGCCCTGAAGCAGATTGTAGTCTGTATGAAGATCAAAGTAATTGGAATCCCTTTTGTTCTTAAATGTGCCACTCTATGGGACACTGCTTGTCTTGTTGCTTAATTTTAGGCACTCGGCAACATGAAGAAAACATGAGGCAGTGGGACAGAGATACAGTGAGGCTGAGGGGCGACGATGTCAGCTGGCTCTAACAAGGTTAAGTTGAATGGAAACTAATTTGCATGGGACGTGACTGCACCCCCAGCAGAGTCGCCTGCATCGTGTTTGTTTGCAATTAACTCGGCCATTGTTGTCAACATTGTTGTTGCGCGAAACGAAGCAGCCGAATAGCGACTAGCAGCAGCACAATGAGACCTAGGAATGGGCAGCGAAAGCGATAGAGAAGGTGGCCAAGAGAGAGAGAGAGAGAGAGAGAGAAAAAAAGAGTAGAGAGTAAGAGATTCCTGCACTTTACATTGGCAATGCCCACGCAGCGAGTGCTACTTATTTTATTTGCTAATTGCAACACTCAAGACAGGGCAAGTGCAGTAGACGGCAACGGCAACGGCAACGACGACAAGTGCTCGACAAGTTTGTTGCAAACGAAGACAACGAAGACAGCGAAGACAACGAAGACGAGGGCAGTGAGGCATACAGTGGCAGTGGCAGAGCCGGAGGCTGATGAACAGGCAGCACGGCAAACAAATTAAAAGTGACGCATTTTCCTCACTTTGCCTTCCTGCGCTAAGTCTTCGCCAGTTGCTGTTGCTCCTCAAATAGATACCCTAGATAATTAGGGGAGAGTTTCGGGAAATATTAGCACCACTTGCTGGATCAGTTTGGATTGCAGTAGAGATTTGCAGTAGCTGCACTGTTACTCTCTCGCTTGCCCGCTCTCCCGCTCTCCTGCTCATATTTGCGTGCACACTCAGGCGGAGGTGAGCTGACGCTGGCGAGAGAAGAGAATGTGCAAGAAAGAGTTTGCTCACTCTCTCGTGACAGGTGCGAGCAAAATGAAGAGAGTGATCGCGCAGAGCTTTTGCCCTTTGATTGCGCTCTTCATCCATTCATTCATTAACTCTCCACTCTTCAGCTTGTGCTTGCCATCAATGGGCATCCCCCATTCTATTAAACTTTTTTAGCTGCATTTTTATGCTCGCCTCTGCTAGCACCAGCAAACAGCATTTACGTAAAGGCCACAGAATCAGGTACAAGAACTTGGGCTGCACTTGCGTGGGCGCCGTAGGCGTGCCATTAACCCAAAAAGCCAGCAAAAAAGCGCTGAAGACGTTTGTTTTCTTAGGACCCTCGCCAGAATGCTGTGGCAAAAGAAAAGCTGCCGAGCTGAAGTGCCTCGCAGCTCTGCTTATTATTTTTCGAGGGAAATTAAGTTTTCATTCAGCTCAGGCAGGGATCAATCCCACGAAACTAGCATTTTGTATTTGTCTGGCCAGAGGCCAGTGGTAACTGCTTGAAGTTTCGAAATTTGAAAATATATTTATTCGCATTTTGCAACACTTGCAGCTGTCGCTCCAGCGATTATGCACACTGGCAGTCAACATCTTTGCAAATATTTATGCACATAACTCATAAGTAACAATATTAATAGTAATATCCGGAGCCACGAATGTCTACGCATACTTTTGGACCACAATTAATAATTGACAATCGACTTGAGCAGTTTGAAGGGAAAGGACCTGCCGGCCCACGTGCATAAGCACTCGCCATAAATCGCTCAGTTATGCCCAAGTACAACTACATTCTGGGCGGATTCATGTTGCTCTTAAATCTATAATGTGCACATTACGCAATCAAGCAGCAGCAGGAGGAGTACATCCCTTGGGAGCAGCCGTGGCAGGCAGCAAAT